CCAACGTCAAGTCCATCGTCTTTAAGATAACGGTATATACTGTTGTTCTTTTTCGCGTGCAGCAAGTCGATCGTTGTTTTTGTGCTTTCTTCCATAACTTTCTTGTCCTAATCTTTTTTCTCTTTGCCTTTTTTTTGTCGATACATTTTCGACTCCTCTGTTCAGTTTATTCACATAAAGTTTTGTTCTCTTCGCAATCTCAGGCAAGAGTCGGAATTTGAATCGGAACACGTGCAGATCGCACCATTCGTTGGTCATGCGTATCGAACGAGCCACTCCGTCCGCCTTCACGGGTAAGTGGTCGCGACGCCAGGTTCCATGCGAACATGACTGTATCCTTCCACGATGTTCGTTGTGGCATTTCCTGGTAAGTTCTTTTTCTATTCTCCATTGAAATCAACGAGAATTCCCAACCTCAACAGCAGTCGCAACACCGATCGTTCGCAAGCATCATGGACGGAACAGCGTCGGAGTACAACAGCGGATCGTGCAGCAAGTAACTTTCCATAACTTTCTTATCCAGATCTTTTTCTTTGGTCTGGTCTTCTTTCCCTTTTTGCGACTCCCCTGTCAGTTTATTTACATAAAGTTGCGCCTTGTTTCTTCCGCAATCTCCGTTGTCGAGTTCCTTGGAAAGTGTGGCGACGTTAGTTCCCGTGCGAACATAATACCGGTTTCTTTCCACGATATTCCTTATATCCTTCCCTGGTAAGTGTGGCAACGTCAGGTTCAATGTCAGGTTTCCCCCCGAACTTCGAAATTCTAAGAACGGTAGTATGTTGCCTCTTTGTCAGCAATCGGTACCTCGACTAATTTGTCTCTTTCCAATCAAAGTGTTTGCACAGTAGGTCTAAGTTTGGAACTGTCAAAACAGGAACTTTACTTCTTCCACTTCTTCGTCAATCATCGCTGGTGATCTCCCTGTTCTTCCACGAACAGCGGTATCTCGAACCTTGTAGGTTCTTCTTTTATCTTAGCAACCTTTTCCTGCCAAGGTTCTCGTCGGTCGTTGTTTCCAGCATGTCTTTCTTTGCTTTAATAATCTCTTTGTTAGATCGCTTCTTCCGATTTTCGCGAATTGTTTCGTTGCTTTCTTTTTTGGCCTCTACTCTGAAGTGTTTCTTCGAAGAGTCCGTAGGTCTCTCCATCCTGTGCAGTCTCGTTGTACTCCATCGTTCTAAGACGGTTATTATTCTTTACTTACTCCATCTTTCATTTAAAAATAAAATATGCTATGTTGCATTCCTTTGTATTTTGGCACATTTCTTTTTATATTGTGTTGGTACCGAGAACTTCGGGATTCCCATTACACGGACCTTTTCTTTTTTGGCACTTTTTTTTGTTAACCTTGTGCCGGTACACTTCTTCCTCCGGTGGGGGATGGAGCTTGCTTGCAGTTTCAACTTCAATCTTCGGCACAGTTTGCCACACTTTGCATCGGTGCCAGTCTTTTGCTTTACGAGTGTTGAACTGTGTTCAAGAAAAAAACACAACTAGATTAATTTTCCCTTTCGTCGTCACGGCCATCATAAGTTGGCTCGTTTGCAGCATTCTCTTCTTTTTCTTAACATTTATGAAATCCTCATTGCCCCACTTTAGTTTGTCGGCATTGTCCCGAATGAAAGAAAATCATCCCCTCGCTGCCACGACTTTTCAAATTCTGCTTATAGCATCTCATAATCGAAAGCGTGAGACGTACGGTTTCTTTTCTTTATCTTGCATTTAAAAAAAAAATGCTCTCTTGATTAATTCTTATTCTTGCTTGTTATTGCCGAACATTCGTCGATTTTGCATAGACTAACGAGAGAACGTTAGTTTCATTTCTTCATCCTGCATTCTTTCTAGCACACGCACTCGTTCCTTTAAACGATTACGTGAAACAACAACACTAAACAATTTGTTTGTTTTTGAACATCTTTTTATTTGGAAAATTTATCTTAGCCGAAAGAATATTTCGGCATTTAATTCCAAATACTCCTCCCTTCTTTCCCAACGACGATAGACTTTTCGGCGCCACGAACTCGACCGTTTGCAATCTCAATATATATTTACATCTAAATAATATCTTTAAAGTTAATTAA